AGACTAAGTAGTACTCGGAAGAAACTAACATGAGATGATGAAGGCAATATACTAAGAAAAATGTGTATTGATCATATACTAACCCTTCGACAAAGTTTCGAAAATAGGCGCCCAAAAAAGATCACATTTCTAGACTCTAACGAGGCCTTCGAATCCTTTAGTCGAGATTTGGAGTGTTTCACCATGAACGCGTTTTCAAGAATATATATCTTACTAATCGTTGCACTGAACGAGAACTTTACACCGCTATAATAAACTTCACACAGAGTTGTCAAGCATAGTGATGACAAATAGCACTGTCTGTTACAGATTTCACTCATATGCACTTTCTGCGGCCATATATGTGCTAGTGGAATTGACACCAACTGGCTTAAGTTACTTTAGGATCAACCTTTAGTCAAGGAAAACATCCTTGTTGTCTTAGATTGCTCAGATAGTGCTGTCATTGTAGGTAAAGACGCTGAAACATTGCTGAGTTTATCGAACGCCCTGAGCAAAAATTTTCGAATGTTTGGCATGTCATTTATCCATATTAAATTGGGGAAGATGCTGTAGAATTAGAATGGAACGACTTTTGGCCAAAATGATATGGGGTGAATTGATAAAGGTGGCGACTCCATTAATGCGGGAAGTCGCACCACCCACAATTGACCGATCGCTGGTGAAATCTCAGGACGTATACATGAGGCACATGTGATATCTACCAGCTTATGTTATCTCTAGTATAGAAATTATAATCCGCTATCAATCATAAGACATTTGTGCTGTGAATCCATTCTCCCTATCCGCCTTCATATATGTGAGACATAAGAACTTTAAGTGTAAAATACGAAAATGTTGCCACTGTTTGGTCAGATATTTTCGTCCTCTCTCCTGTGTAAGGCGGTAAAGAATGCTGAATAATTCTGAAGTTCTACCACATAAGGGGTGGACATCCGAGATCCTACGTAGGATTCTCAATAAAGCAGGAATTAGGGTGGCATTCAAACCTACAAACTCACTCAGGGACAAGCTTTGTAGGTTAGAGGATCCTGTCAGTTGAGTTAATTAGACAAAATAATATAATTTACCAAATACCCTGCAATGACTCTGAGGTCAACTATATAGGTTAAACTAGTAGCTCGGGAGTAATTAGGTTGTCAGAACATTAGGATTTAGCTCAGGTTATAATTACTGATTTCGCAAAGATAAAAAATTTAGAAAGAAACTCAGCAATCTCACTGCATACATTAACACACAACCGCACAATAGGCTGTGAGAGAGTAAAAATTCTAAGAGGTAATATAGGTAGGTGGAGAGATCGTTTGATTACTGAATCTTGATTCATCGAGTCTACACCCAACACATGTAACAGAAGTGACTAAACGCAATTAACAGAGATATGGAAGATATTATTACGAGTCAAATCAGAGCATAATAAATTATGTTAAACTGTATTCAATCCACATTATAACATTCTAATAAGGCATCCGTTCTCAGACAAGGAGGTAAGTGAATCGATGAGGATGTGAAGGTGGTTGGATTGAGATGTCTAGTACACTCGTTGCAAATGAACAGCTAACACTTTCACAGACAATAAATGTTGTCCAACATGGGATTCATCTGGAAAGAAGTTCGAGGTGGTCAGATCGAAATCTCATGTTACTTCTTGAAGACTCTGATAACAAGCAAACTGCTTTCCTTAAGGAACAAATAATCCTTATTTCATGTAATTAGAAACACATGAATCAGCAAGAAATCTCTCATATTAACTACACTCTACTCTGTTTTGTTGGATTTACATTTATGGTGTAGATTGACAGTGGAGATCAAAGTTCGAAGTCATTTAAAAGAAAAGTCAATAGGGATGTGAGCAATAACGATGTCTGAAGAAACTGAGAACACTTTTACCTAATTTGAATAGTTGACAACTTATGGGTTATGTGTTGAAAGACCATTTGGATATCCTCGATAAGGAACAAAAGAAAAAACTGAAAATGGGTTGCAAATCACAGAAATGATAAAACTGAGTAACCGATATGATGTTTGTCTTATCCTTAAAAACTACTGAAATATAAATATTGGCGTCGCATACTCGTCAAACTGCTAACTGGTTATCTGTAGAGAGTATGGTTTGACTGGTGTTAACAGATTTCAGAGGCTACAGAGAATAGTCTGTGTCAAGGAACACCAAATACTGCACTTATTATGGAGTCATGAAGTGGATAACGTGCAACTTTAATACAGAGAAATATTCATAAAAATAGAAGTATTCCTATAATATGAATGACAAATGGCAATCTTTACATCGTTTCAAAGTAAAAACATATTGGCTTCTATCTGTTCCTTGCAGTTATCCTGTCTGGCATATTCTTGGCTTTCGCTGTACTCATAGTAAGTTACATGGTGAATTTTAGGAATATTCATGAGGCTGAATATACAACATACATTGTATGCCATCAGGATTATAAGTTTTCGTTGCACAAATATATCCTCACTGCACATCTTCAAATTCACGTATCCATGGTGCTATGTGTGGATGTGGGTGTATCTCGTTTATTTCTCTTGCCATTATTAAAATTTGGAGTTGAACGTTAATTGATTATATCCTCTTTTATTAATTCCTAACCTCGGTTTTTTTACTCTCTTTTAGTGACGTCTTTAAATAGGCATCTTGATCCATAAGTGTGATGTATAACCAACTGAACTTAAATCATTTATTTAATAACATGTCGCTCTATGGATAGCTACATTAGTCTTTTATTCTAGAATGATTTCATTTCTCAAGAACACAATAAATTTCGGATCTACCTTAAGTTCGTGAAATTCGTATGAGTTTAAAGGTTAGTATTTGAACAGGAGGATCATTTGTCAAATAAATAAATTTGTGAAACTTGGTCACATTGTTTTACACAACTGGAAGTCAAAGGTAATATGTGTCTGAAGCGATTATTCATGTAATTCCCCCTTTTTTATGGTTCGCTTCTCTGTAATAGGTGTTATATCTTACCGGACAAGGTATAAAGCGTTGCGACAATGATACAACCAAGACTCTCCTGCCAGTTTGTTTGGCCCTGACTACTTGAGTGGCAACTGTTTATTTATTCATATCCATAGCTGTGATGTTTATAGAAGGCAGCATGCCGAGGCGTGCATATATGAACGACAATTATATCCTGATTTGAAACAGCAGTGTTCTTTATGCATGAATCATTCAACTGTTCGTCTTTTTTTGTTAGTTTTACTGTAACAATGAATTCTATTTGTAATACATTTTGAAGTCACATATTTGGTTGCTATTAGCTATTGATGAAGAGCTTCGAATTATCTTTCGGATACTAAAACACTGCCTACTACTACATACTATAGTAGGAATAAAATTTATCCTGAGATGAAATTAACAAAAAATTCGAAATGTGATTTTTTGTTTACTTAATGTTAAATACCAGGTATAAATAAAGATTTAGGTAGTTCACATGGATGACATCGTTCTGAATGTTTCTGCAGCTTGGTTTGCTCTAACAATCTGAAAGATTTTGATGGCATTATGTTCTTTCATGCTAACTTTAGCTTCCATCGAGTGAAGTTATATCGGTCAACAGGCTTCAAAAAAGTTTCTAGCCACCACAATAATTCATTAGTAAGCTGATCAGTCTTCACGATTTCACTAAAGTATTAGTTAATTTCCGTTGGGAAAGGATAGTGAAGTTGCTAGTTTGATTGCCTCTTCTAGCTCAAGCTCGGAATTCTAAGTGATATCGTTTGAATTTCAGAAATTAATAATTACCGTTTTTCCTCTGCTGGTATATTTGAATGCACTGCAAATGGTCCATGGTTTTCAATTATTCACAGTGACTGATAAATATTCAAAACAAGAACTACAGTTTTAGCAGAATAAAATGGTACCATCTTTTATTTCGTTGCCTTCTCGTCAGCTGCTTACATGGCAAAGACATTATTAAATATATCTACAACAACAATTTTAACATACTTGCATAGAGTTCAGTTTAAACAAAAGCAGCTGACGAGAAGGCAACGAAATAAAAGATGGTACCATTTTATTCTGCTAAAACTGTAGTTCTTGCTTTGTTCAAATTCATTAAGGGGAATAAATGTATGAAATACTCAAAAGTCCTTGCTGTGGCTTCAAGCATACGTAATAATGAATTAGTCTCTTGTGAGACATCCACTCTTGGAAATTTTTCAGCAGACAGCTATTTGCAGGATCTTGAAGAACAGGGGTTGTACTATCAATGTACTACACTTTACAAGCATTAGTAAACCTAGTACTCCCAGTTACTCACTTTTATGAATAGTAATTATTGAGGGCAAACCACAAATCAAAAATGCGCATCTATTTAGAAATGTCAGCAATATATTTGAATAGAATAGGATATTAAGGTTATTTAAGGAAAATACTTTAGAAGCTAACTGGTTGGAATGGCTGGACTATGAACTGCAAGAATATGCGTGTTACCATCACAAAAAAGGAGAACAGTATGGAGTCCATGTCAGGTCGGATGCATATGAGTTATAGCCACAACTTAAGACAATTTAATTATCTTCTAATGGCTTAGATATTTATTTAGTCCATATTGATATGATTCCGTTTGATCTATTTTTGTAGCCCCCGGGGTGGGAAGTGCAATTAAAACGTCCCCTGAATACTGAACAATTATAAATCGATGAACAATAATGTACATTATCAACTAAAGTCAACATTCTTTTACCCCATTTATTCTTACCAATTGTTCAAGACTGCTTTTTAGAATGAGATGCTTAAGGATAAAATGGTACATTACCTTTTTCATTTACATCCCATCAGTTATTACTCTAACATGCACAGTGTTATATGTCAATGATAAATGTAAGTCAGCTGAATGTTGAATGAAGTTATCTTGAGAGTTTGGGTTAGGAACATTCAGGATACGTTTCTTGTGAGTCAACAAATTGTGATAACAGGGGAACAAAATACACATGTATATATATATATATATATTTATGGAGAATATATTTTGTCAGATTTCTATTAGTTAGGCTGTACATACACTTCTTATCAGAAAGCTTTTTCGCTCATCTAATCGTTCCCCAAAATCAGCAATATGAAGACTGAAAGCAAACCCGCTGATGTACGAGTTTTCGACAACAGCACTAAATTATGAAAATAGTCTGCTAGGCAAAAGTGAGGGGACAGACATCTCTTTCTTTGAATTATTGTATTTGTTGAATCTAGGAAAGAAAAGAATTAAACGAGATTGAGAATTATTGATTTGTTATTCAAGAGAAAAACTCAATGATATTCAAATGGACTGTGATCAAGATTTCACCAAATAGTTCCAAAATAACTGAGCACCGAGTGAAAAGTAAACATTTTTCAGAGAAATTCAAATGATTAATTCCAACGCTTCATTCGACAATCTGGTCTGAACTTCTTCAGGGAAATTAATTGAAATGAACGTAACAGATATATATATATATATGTATATATAAGGACAACTCGCATTTTAAAAACTTTGTCCAATCATATGAGTCATGTAACATGTATAATAAGCAAAATTGTATGAACTGTGATTATAATCTGAACTCAGATATGTCGATGAGAACTTCATCATAATCAGACGCAGTTTGTTGAATGAACTTTTTACTCAATAAGCGAAAGGCCAGAAACCATCAAGTTTTCCAAGGAGGTTGAGTCTGATTAGAACGATTTGGTTTTCGTGGATTGTTTAGTAAAACGAAAACTACATGGTAAATTGAAAATTAAACATTTTCAGAGAGCCGAAAAATTCGGACACATACCTAGACTATTATTCAGCACACCCCTTTACCACCAAAATAACTGCGGCTAAGAATCTGATTAATAGAGCCAATGTCTAGTAACTGAGGGGGAAATGATTAGCGAGGAACTTATATTGCTTCATTCCACTCTTGAATCGAATAAGTTCGTAAAGCCTGCATAATAAGATATTTAAGATATGAAGATAAGGATGGATTGAAACCTGTTGCTAAGAATTGGGTTAGTATACCGGTGATTCCCTACCGCAAAGAAACATCCGATGAAATAAATCGAATCCTCAACAATCGTAACATAAGACTGTCTTTTCGTGCACCTAATATCTTACGCTCATTACTAGTGAAGGTTAAGGATAAAATAGAACAAGAAAACCAGCAGAATTGCGTATACCAGATCAATTGTGGGGATTGTAAAGCCGTATATGTAGGAGAAACTTCCAGACAGGTAAATATAAGAATGGAAGAGCATTAACAATGTCTAAAGGTGGTTCCAAAGGCCTCTGCAGACTTGAAGAAGCAAGAAAACAACTCAGTGATTGCACTGCATTCGATAGAAACAGGACAGAAAGCCGACTCTTATAGGATTAAGCTTCAACAGAATGGTTTTAGTTCCTATAAAGAAACACTGACTGCGGAAGCTCTACATACATCAGTGATTCTAACCAGTTTAAACATACGTGGTGTCACTAACTAATCACACCTGGTCGAAATTCCCAGTTGTATACATGTTCTTTTGGAGAGCCTTGGAAATGTTTTAAAACTGTTTACCCATACGCACACCGTCGTCTTCCGCATATACAAATATATTTTCATATTCAGTTATCTACGACCACGAACGTTTAGTCAAACTCAATCTGATAATAAGTACAATCTGTTCAAGGTGCTTAACAGAAGTAAACTAATAAATAATAGTCTGAGGTCACATTATGATCACAGTTTATACAATTTTGTTTATTATGTATGTTAATATCTGTTTCATGACTCATATGATTGGACAAAGTTTTTAAAACATGGATTTTCCTTTTATACATGAATATATATACACCTCTGTTATCGCTTAACAGTTTGAAAAAAATTTGGGCATTGAGTATGTGATATTCATTATAATAAAGGTTTCAGTATTTCCCAATGAATGAAAAACAAAATAGTTTTGTTTTAATGAGAACCCTTGTTATGTTCATTTCAGTACTATGATGCTCGACTTCTTCCTCAGTTTCTCCATTTTGTACCCCAATATGAGTGCAGCCACGGAAACAGCTATCGTCAGAGTCCATGACAAAATATTCCACAGTTTCAGGACAGCTGTAATGGCAGGTAATCCGAAGGATAATAATAAAACCTAAAATATTCAGACATAAAATATGAATACAAAATTATCACGGTGTTTGATGTTGTAGATTCACAATGATATATTCTTGAAAATTGGATACATTGGTAGTACACAATCCCATTCTGATTTGTTTATTTTGCTGTTCAAAATGACACAACTTGTGGTGTCTTTCTTTGGAATAACTATAACTGGTTAGCCTACATGTTTATTAAACTAATGCTGAGGTTAACAGCGCACACTTTATCTTCGGAAGTAAATCAATCGTTACTCATTTCTGCTATGAATACCTTAAGGTGTTCACTTAGCACTTATAAAGTTATCACGATTACTTTGGTTTCCGATTGGAAGATTCACCTGCAGCAGTGAATTTCCATTTGATCCCCTCCTCTAGAATCTTCTTTAGCTGGCTATATGATTGCTTATAAGGTTTCGCTTCTGCGTGTCCTCCAGTCACCACTTAATTCGTCGTCTCTCTTACACGTCGCACTAAGATACCTGGCGTATGATGTCACTCAACCAGTAAACTTTGCTTATGCTCTGCCTGTCTACGTCTCCCTTACTGTTCGTTGGTAGGTTGACAGATTTATTTATAGACAACACTAACGGGCTTGCTATATGCGCCTCCCTATCAATACAGCGAATGCAGCTGATCCAGAGTGTTTGTAGTCAGCTGGAAATGCTTTTGGTGATGTAACTAGTCTCTGAAGCAAGTATAAGTGATGCGTTTATATTATTAGTGAAGAAACTCTTTTTTCTCTTAACTAACTGAGATTCCCCTTCATTACAATCCATGCTTTAAATGGTAAAATATCAAATTTAAACCAGAAATAAGTGTCAACTGCTGTCTCATACAGACAGTTTTTTTCCGTGTGGTGATTAGGGTATTATGTCAATAACAGCATAGTTAAGTGGAACAATATGTAACTTACTGCAAGTATCACGAGAACATAATTCAGTGGAAACACTTGTTGAACGTTCTTAGCAAGAAGAAACACTCCCATGGGGATTGTACCGAGTACACTGAGTACGAAAAATCGAAAAAAGTCAGTCAAATGTAGTTAAAAAACTTTTAAAAGGAAATTTTGATTAAACATCAGAGCTCTTGTCGAGCAAATGTGTCTGTTTATCACCATGACACAGTTTCAATGAAGACCGCTGTCATCCTGATTACCGCTGTATATCAATCACTGATAATAATGACATACTAATGTATTATGACACATTATTCATTTCATATTTGAAAATGCTTTACTGGTATAAGGAAATATGCGGTGAAACTCCCCATCGAATCACTTACAAGAGTGCAATTGGTAGATTAATTCCTTCGCACAGTTCTCGGAGACTCGGTCTACAGAAATGTTGTTTAGAAGAAGAATTACAATACAAACTTACACTGTTGCTGCATACAGTGTAACAATTATTGTCAACAGAACCATTAAACTCGTCAAAATCCAGTACTTGATTTTAGTTTAGTGTTTATTCTAAATATGTAAAGGAATTTACCTACCCTTAGATAACAGACATCTGCAGAAACAGCTCCAGGCTTTTTACTCTATAAGATGAAGTCTCGATAATTATACTCCTTTCACAAACCTTTGATGTTCCACCCATTTCGACTTTTCACGTAGTTCACGAAATTAAACAAACAGAATAAGTCTGATTTTACACATAAAATGACTGACTGAAACTGATAAAAAATTGGTGTGTGTAATGTCATGTAGTCTTACATCAAACAGAATGTATGTTTGACTCCTTCTAACTATAGGGATTTCAAATGTACGCAAGAACTTTCATCAAACATGTATGTTGTCAATATTTCCTGCCGCAGATGAAAGTTTATCAGGATAGAATGATCAGCTTTGGGATTGTGCCCCTTTCCAATCAGAATGTGTTCAGTAACAGAATAAATGATGATTACATTCCAAAGGTGAGCAATGATACCAGTTAGTTTGGCAATTTCACCTGTAGCCATACGGGATGCAATAAAATCAATCAAACTGCCAGAACGAATGTTCTTGTTTTTCACTCCTGGTTGCTCAGGTAATGATGAGTGACAGTTTAATTCTCATTTTCCACCACTGCTAACCTATGACCTCCCACTTCACGGATACCAATAATCACTATGTTTACGGTATATTCTAGGTTCCGAGTGCTGCTATTATTCTGTGTGTTAGCTCCTTCATTACTATACCTTGAGCGTTTTGCATGCAGATAACTCCTTGCAGTCACAATAGTCTACTCATCCCATTTGACATCGCATTTACAGGGCTCTGAACAGCATCATCTTCCCATTGGACGTTAGTATCATTGATTTGCAGGGGTTTCACTTATCACATCAGTGGTTTATTTGATTATCGTGGAATCGAAGCACACCTCCAATGACGGCCTAACGTGTTCAATGTACCGAAGTATATCACAGACCATGATTAATATATAACAATGAAATATATAAATCATCGTACTTGTTTTCATGAAAGACTGTGCTGAACTGTATTCATCCCGTTAGTGAAAAGAGGATGACTCCTCTTTGAATGCGACTTTCTTACTTATTTTCACAAGTAGTTGGGACAGTTAAGTACAAAAAACATTCAAGCGAACGTAACATCATTTGACTAGTATTAACAACAACACAAATATTAGTACCTATAGAAGAATGGAAATGACATGTAATATTAGATAGCCGCTTATCAGCGATGCAATATTCTGAAAAAAATAATTGACAAGTACTCAGTATATGTTTATCATTTCGGTTATTAATACTATTATGATGAGCCTACTCATGTTTGTACCATGTTACAACCGGAATGGAATTTACAAACTGAAAGGAATTCATCAATAATAAGGCTTACATGATATTCTATTGACAAACTGGAATCGGAGCTTTTAAATTGACTCATTTATATATTTTTGGGATGTTACAGTTGTCGGTGGACTTTGATTAGTTTTTCACGTTCTATTAAGACATTGATTGTGATTCATTTTCTCAACCTTTATGTGATTGGTGGATCATCATTTCTTGTTTTTATGTACAGGCCGAAAATCATAGATGCTTTCCACGTGATTTTCTCAGCAATGGTTTTCATAAACAAATAGTTTAAACACTGGCATCTGGGATTACTCAAAACATTAACTGTTAGTTAGAAAACTGGATTTTGATCTTCAAGGGTTGAGACACCGTGACAATTGAAAATTAGAAGTACATGAGACTGGAAAATCGGTAATCTCAGAAAATGTATCCATATTCATTAAGTATATTTCTAATACTTCATGGTGATGCAGTATTAAAAACCGGATGACGTTTAGATCAGAATTTGTTGCTCATAGATATACCACTTAGTCGGATGTTTTCATGATTGTTTTCGCATAAGTATTTCTCTGTGTGCCTGTACCTGGTAGTTTGTTTCTGATATGTACCCACATGATGTGTATTTGTTTTTGACAGTCAATTATATTTTGCTATGTACAAAAAATGAATCGATATTTCATTATAACTGACAATATGCTTTTGTCTGTGGACTAACTAAATAAACAATGTATGACCTTGTTATTACATGACATTACAACCAATCATGGTGAGACGTTATCTTATTGGTTCATGTGTATGAGCCATTTTCATATATACTCTTGCTTTATTATTCTTGTTCACACACATTTCGTACACTTGTACCATTTCACTCACACTCTTGTCTGACAGTTTATTTTCCTTGTCTGGAAAATACAAGTATCATCGTAAACCTGGTGGCCTTCTGATTTTCCTCTTTCCGCGTCAGGATTTTTAACTACTCGACGAGAATATAACATAATTGGCGACGGGGAAAACTCTAATAACTCAGTCAGCAGCAGTACATAACATAATTGGCTACAGGGAAAACTATGGACACATCTGAATTGGAATTATTATTTGAGCGGCAAATGAAATTAATGGAAATGCTCATCAACCAACAGACTGGTCCAACTTCACCTTCAAGCAATCCCAATCATACCATGCTACCATCTGTCGACGGAATTGTGAATATAATTTCACAGTTCAATTATGATCCAGATGCTAATGTCACTTTTGACACATGGTATCAACGTTATGAGGATTTATTCACTGTTGATCTCGCCTCACAAGACGATGCCTGGAAGGTGCGAGTGTTGCTACGTAAATTGGGTCCCGCAGAATATGAACGGTACTGCAACCTAATTTTACCACAGAAACCACGTGACAAGTGTTTCGATGATACAATAAAGCTGCTGCGTGAACATTTTGGAGACCACTCCTCATTATTCAGCATACGTTATCGTTGCCTCAAGCTGACAATGAATGAAAATGATGATTTTCTTACTCACGTTGGCACAGTCAACCGAGAATGTGAGAGATTTCGACTCAGGTCCTTAACAGATGATCAATTCAAAGCCTTGATTCTCATATGCAGTCTCCAATCTCCTCGTTTCACAGATATCCGAACTCGACTGCTCAATCAGCTAGAACAAAATCCTAAGTTAACATTACATGACATAGCTGATGAATATCAACGGCTGATTAATTTGCAGAAAGACACACACCTGGTCGAATCAACACCTTCGAGAAGCTCTGATATTCATGCATTACGAAAGAGCAAAAATCTCTCATCATCCAGTCCTGACCCACCTACTTCTCCTAATGTTCCGCGTAAATCTACAGATACTCGTCCAACTTCACAAAATACTGCAAAGAAGACCCCACCATCACCATGCTGGCATTGTGGCGCGTGGCACTTTGTAAAGTCTTGCCCACACAAAAATCATCGTTGCAGCAAGTGCAAAATCATCGGTCATAAAAATGGTTTTTGTCAGCCACGCAAACCCAGATATCATAATCCAGCGAAAGCTCGAAAAACGGTTGGTCCTAAATCTCCAAGGAGATCATTGAGTCTACTCGCAACCTGTCAAGTCATAACTCCATGTATGCGGAAATATCTTGACCTTCAGATGAATGGTCATGATGCACGTCTGCAGCTAGATACCGCCTCTGATATTACTGTTATATCAGAGAAACTTTGGAATAATATTGGCAGACCACCAATCGCAAATACTTCTCAGACTGCTGTCAGCGCCTGTGGTGGGCGCCTCAAACTAATTGGTGAACTCGAATGTTCTGTTTCCTTCCGCAATATCAAATTCACAGGAATTTGTTACGTCACCAAGAGTGATTTAAATCTTTTGGGACTTGATTGGTTCGATCGTTTACATCTGGCTGATGTCCCACTTAGTTCTGTATGCAACGCAGTTAACAAGGATAAAAATTCAGCCAACTCCTTTTCTGATTTATGCAAACTATTTGCACCTGTTTTTCAACCGGATTAGGTCACTGTACCTCGCTGCAAGCTACCTTTCGAGTATTACCAGACGCAAAACCGGTTTTTCGCCCAAAGAGGCCAGTCCCATATGCATCTGTACCAAAAGTTGACGAAGAATTGGAGAGACTGCAACAACAAGGCGTATTAACACCAGTCACGTACTCGGCATGGGCAGCACCCATCGTCGTTGTCAAGAAAGCGAATGGGTCCCTACGTATTTGTGCTGATTTCTCTACTGGGTTGAATGCTGCATTAGAACAGCACCACTATCCTTTACCTACCCGGATGATTTATTCACTGTTTTAAATGGTGGATCTTATTTTGCAAAACTGGATCTTGCTGACGCATATCTACAAGTGAAGTAGCCCCAGAATGCCGAGAACTCCTTACCATTAATACACATCGCGGTTTGTTCCAATACAACAGATTACCTTTCGGAGTTAAAACTGCCCCAGCTATTTTCCAACAACTGATGGATACTATCTTGGCAGGTATTCCGGGTGTTGCCGTCTATCTTGATGATATCTTGGTGGTAGCGAATTCTATAAACGAACTTTACAGCAGGACAGAAGCTGTCTTGTCACGCATGCAGGACAACGGTCTACGACTACGCTCAGAGAAGTGTCAGTTCTCCTTGAGATCTGTCAAATACCTTGGATTTATATTTGATGCATCGGGTAGACGTCCAGATCCTGACAACATACGTGCTATAAAAGAGATGCCCGCACCTACTGACGTGCCTTCTTTACGCTCTTTCTTGGGATTAATTAGCTATTACTCGGCATTTCTCCCTGCGCTGCATAATGTTCGACACCCTCTCAATCGACTACTCGAAAAGAATGCAACCTGGAAATGGTCCGAAGCTTGCAGATCAGCTTTTGAAAAGTTGAAGTCTATGTTAACTTCTGAATTGCTTCTGACACATTATAGTCCAACACTTCCAATTATAGTTGCAGCGGACGCTTCAGCAAGCGGAGTGGGAGCTGTCATTTTACATGTCTTCCCAGATGGTTCACAAAAAGCAATAATGCATGCATCTCGAACACTAACTGCGGCAGAAAAGAAATATGCACAAATTGAAAAAGAAGCCTTAGCTTTAGTTTTCGCCGTACGACGTTTCCATAAAATGATCTACGGCCGCCGATTTACCTTGCTGACAGATCATAAACCGTTTTCGGATCTAAATCAGGTATCCCGGTACATGCAGCTAACCGACTACAACGCTGGGCAATAATATTACTTGGATACGATTTCGATATTAAATACAACCGAACTAACGAATTTGGTCAAGCCGACGCTCTATCTCGGCTAATTAGCGACTATCCTGCATCAAGTGAAGATATGGTAATTGCATCGATCGCCACCAAAGACTATGCAGTTAACCTCATCGACAATGCTGTTCGATCTCTACCAGTAACGTTTGCAGAAATCCAGCGAACTACAAGCACCGATGCCACCTTACGACGTGCTACACAGTATGTATCCAGTAATTGGCCAAAGATTAAATATAGTGGAGACCTAAAACACCTGTTTGCCCGTCGTGATTCCTTATGTGTTGTAAAAGATTGCTTGATGTTTGGAGAACGCGTAGTGATACCTGAAGCATTACGAAATAAACTCCTGAAACAGTTTCACATGGGACATCCTGGTATTCAGCGGATGAAGAGTATTGCTCGCAGCTACGCATACTGGCCTAATATGGATAAGCATATTATCGACTTTGTTCAACGATGTTCAAAATGTCAACAATCAGCAAAGCTACCCCACCAGCTACCTCCCGTACCGTGGCCTCCAGCATCCCATCCTTGGTCCAGAATTCATATTGATTTTGCTGGCCCTACAAATGGTGCATATTATTTAGTGGTGGTAGACGCTTTTTCTAAGTGGCCAGAAGTTATACCAATGGTTTCGCCGACAACGTCCCAGACTCTCAAAGCTCTCACTGACATATTCTCCCATCATGGTTGTTACAGACAATGGTTCGCAGTTTACCTCTCATCAGTTTCAGCAGTTCTGTCGTCAAAATGCTATCGAGCATATGTTCACACCGCCGTATCATCCTCAGTCAAACGGCCAAGCGGAACGTTTTGTCGACACTTTGAAGAGAGCTTTACTCAAAGCAGAGGGAGGGGGGACACCATTTGACATCATCCAAAAATTCTTGATGGTGTACCGTACAACGGCGAATGAGTCAACACAGAACAAGAAATCGCCGGCAGAAATTCTTTACGGACGCAAACTTAGAACGATTCACAACTCAATGTTACCACCGACACCCAAACGTGCCGACGCATCATTTCGGAATGAAAAAAAATTTGATGTTGGTGACCCTATCTATGTCCGCG